TTAAAAAAAAAGAAGAGAATCTAAAAGAAAGAGACAAAGTTATGCAGAGAATTATCATGGTGGCATTCGAGAGAAAAACAAAAACTCTGTACCAAACTAAGTAACTTGGAAATAAAATACAATTTGGAGTTGTTTTGCTGAATTACATGTTGACAGGATGAAAGGCAACCGGAAAGCACAGTGGCTAAACCAGCAGCTCAAGCTGGAACCCGCCAGCTGATGTGTAAGAGACACACAGGACACTGGGCATCCATAAAGATTTCAGCCTTGCAAACTCCACAGGGCAGTTCTCTGTCTGCCAGGGCTGTAGTGTTTCGGAAATTACATCAACAGTGGGTTTATAGCATGTGTAGGACCTCGGGTCAGATAGGAATCGGTTCTGAAACAGTACATGCAACATAATAATGTCATTAAAAGAGAATCTTTACATTGCATAAATGACGTTAAATCCATACCTATCATACATCGTATGATACAGACAAAAAAACACCAAATTATACCCATACAGCATGAATGGCCCGGTAGTAAGAAGCTGAACTTCAATGCCAAAGGCACAGGGTTCAAATCGACCAGCCCTGGGAGAAGGATGGGCAATCTCCTCTCCCGTGATTTACTGTCTCTGAAAACCTGCTGGAGGGTCAGCTATGAGTCAGTTCCCACTTGACAGCACGGAACAAGAAGAAGCATGAGTCTTAAAAGTTTTATACACACACCAAAAAAAGTTTTATACACACAGTTTTGAGGAAAGTTTCAAAAAGGAACAAGTAACTAGAAATAACTCTTATTCTAAGACTAACTTTTCTAACCTAAGTTTAACATCTATTTCTAATTCTAGCATTATTTCTCATGTCTAGAATATGTCAGCATTTAATTTTGATTTTTATATAATGTTTATATAGAATCTTTTTCAAATGATCTTTTGGGATTCCTTGTTCATATATACCCTTACCTTTTTTAGTTATGTTCTTAAATGGATTTTAATTGTACAGCTAATTTCTAAGCTAGCAATCATTGAAATGTGTGTAAATCTTGCCTTAAAGGATTTTTAATTAAAAAAGGATACGGGGGCAGGGGGGGGGGAGGTTTCTATAGTGTTAAAAAAAATAATTTTTAACAAACAGTTTTACCCACATAGACACTCACTTGGCCTACTCTATCACAAGAACCTAGAGCTGGATTTTCAATCAACTTGGGCGGCCCGTGTAGGGTGGTCTGTCCTAAAACACCACGGGCTCTGTGGCACACAAACAACTCTGTTCATGGCTGACAGAACCAGAAGAGGTATGGCATGAGCTGTGGGCTAAACGTCCCTCCACGGCCCTGGGCTCAGTTCTGGCTCCCAGCAGACTTCCCAGAGAGCGCTACACATCAGATGTGTGGACAACAGCAGGGACTTAACCCTTGGGGGGCCCTAACGAGCCCCCCAAGCAGCACAGGGCTGGCCGGTGACCCTGACGTGCAGGAGTGGCACACGTGCGCACACCTGCTTTTCAGAAGGCTACAAGGAAGTATCATAAAGTATTTCTAGCCGTGGTTTTCTGAACAGAGAGAGTCTAAAGCTGTCTTCAGACAGTAGACACAAGATACCCTGAGCCACTCACTCTGAAATTTAAATTAATGGAAAATCAATTTACTCAATAAACTTTCTTTCAAATCACAATGAAATTATCACAATGAAATCCAGTAATTAAAATTTAAAATTCCTTTCTTCAGTCTCACTGGGCCTGCTTCAAAGGCTCAAAAGTCAGATGGAGCCAGTGGTTATGGTTCTGGGAGACATAAAGGAGAGGCTGAGATGCAGGGATTTCCACTTCCACCCAAGGGCCTGGGAAGTGTGGCAGATTTTTACGGTCTTTCACATATTTTTCCAAATATATTACAATATGCATTGTACTTATTCCTTCTATAAACATAAAGTACAAACTCGATGGGACAAGAAAAGTATTCACACTGGGTTTGCTGAGAGAATGCCCTGTCGAGGAGGTCTGCCTAACACCCTGAAGAGAGGCAGGCGGTCACAGGCACGCTGAGCAGAGCAGAAAGGGCCATTAAAGGACAAGGGACTGACCGGCACTCCAAGGCAGGTCGGGAAGGGACACCGAAACGCCTACAGCAGAGCAGAGAAGGGGCCACAACAACAAGAAGCCACACTTCCGGCTGATCGCACACTCACCAGCCATCACAGCCGCTGACCGCTGAGCGGGCTCAAACGGACACTTCCCCCGGCCACTCTCCAGCCTTTCAACCTGCCGGAAACTGGACATGTCCTAGGACCAGAAGGGTGCAAGTGTTGAAGGGGTGACAGGGCATTCATGGTGAGAATCACAGACAGTCGGACGAAGGGAAGGCCAACTCCACTCTCCTCCCATTGTCCTCTAGCACTCCCACACTCCTCGTTGACCCCCTGACTCCCCCATTCGTGAATCTCCTCATCTCTGCTACCCTCCTTTTCATCTGTTTCTTTCCCTCAATTCCCCAGTACCCCAAACCCACCTGACTCAGTGAACATCACCTAGGATGGCTCTTTGAGACACTAAGAGGCAAGGAGACAGATTCCCCCTAAAACAGTGGAGGCCTGTGGATATTAAAACTGGCTGGGGAATAGACCACAGGTCAAGGAGGACCAAGGAGGCAAGCAGGTCTTGGAAAGAGCAAGGAAGAGTGTAGCCTGATCTAGACTCTGTGAGGTCTGGAGACCTAAATAAAGAAGGTCCAGCTTCCCCCTGCTCACACCCCAGGGATGGAAGGGCCAGAATCAAGGATACCGCCAAGAAAGAAAGGGAGAGAACCCAGAGTCAGTGAAGAATAGCGTACGGCTCGGGTAAGAAGGTAGGGGCCTTCTCATGCAGGGAGTCGGACCTGGGTGTGACCTGAGTGAGCGTGAGGCTGTGGGACTCCCACCCCAGCCACAGCCCCAAAATAATGTCTGAAAATGGATATCAGGACTGACTGCAAACTAGGTCTGAGAGAGTGGTTAACTGTAGCTGATGAAAATCCGACTCGTGTCACTGTGTTGGATATGGTCACAGATAAACAGAAAAATTGTACAGCTGGACCTAAGTCTGTCAACAGCCGTTGAGCTAGCAACACACTATAAAGCCCTGAGCATGCTATTATATACCGTCTTACGGCTCTATTATGTGCTGCAAATGGCAAGCAAGATTTTCGAGTACTGGAAGGAGCCTGGAAGGCAGCCTGCTAAAATGAAATGGGATCGGAATAAAGGAATTCTATGGTCAAGAGAGCGTACCGCGATGGAAGAACCCACAGAGCTGTAAAGACTTCATGGCCAATGATGGAAGGATGGCAATTTGGTAGATGATTTCTAAAAAGTTTGGGTCCTTTGAAGACAGGTAGGGGGCCAAGTGGCGATCTTAACTTTCACTTAAACAACGATGGTGGCGTGCTGTGGAGATCCTGTACTGTCTCTGCACCGATGAATGTTCAACTCAAGCATGAACGCATAGTACCTAGTGCCAAGCTTAAGACAGGGCACATCTTCAAGGGAATAAAAGTCATGTCATTGACCTCATCATCGTTCTTGTTGAAAGTTTACCTTTTTTTCTCCACAAACTGCTACAGTTACCTAAAAATAAAGCAAATAAAATGTTTTCTTCCAATGTCCGATGAGCAGCTGAAGCTGGTGGGCCCAGCACTGGACATCTTTGTAAGAACTATCAGCTCCCCACCAGGGCTTCATTTCTGAGAAAGGTGCTATGTCCAGTTCAGCAAGTCACAGCTCCAGGATGAGTGTTACACGGTCTTGAAGTCACCTGTCTGAGTCTTAAGAGGCTCAAGCCCGAAGCAAAAGGCAAGGATTCGGTCCATCTGGCACTGCCCGGAAGGAGGACAGCACAAGGCAGGGCAGAAGAGAATGCTGGGGACGTCTGTGGGTGGAGCCCTGGGGTGGAGTCTGCAGGGAGTTTGCACTGCTCACCAGTCCTCAGCCCGCATCGCAGCCCTGGGGACTGGCCAGGAGGGCCTCTTACGGGCTGTTCTCTATGTCCTGCAAACAAGCCTGACCAGCGAGAGCCTTTCATTTCACAGGTGAGCCAGGGAGAGAATACTGAAAGTCGACCACCTGCTTTCCCTCCTCGATGCTGATGGTCAAGAGTGGACAGAGGTCCAGGTCACAGCAACTCTAGCTGGGAGGTCCAGAGTACACCTCATCTGACCACCATGAGGTCCTACTGCGGAAAGTCAAGGACTAACAAGAGGCTCTGGGAGACATCCTGGAATGAATCTCATTGACAACAAGCCATGGCTTTGTATCTGGAACTCTGGGCGCTCCTGAGTGGGAGCAGACCAGGAAAGGTCCTACAGGACAACAGCAGAGCCATGGCTAGCCGGTAAGCTTTGTGAGAACTGTAAGAGACCAGGTTCTTAAAATTACCCAATGGGACACAGAGATGTTCAAGCCCACTCTGAACTGGAAACCCTGAGGGCCAGCGGTGCCAGGTGGTAGTCGCTTTCCACACGCAGGTGAGAGTCCACCATCTGCACTGAGGAAAGGACTCAACCAACCCCCAGCGCCACCCAGAAGGACTGACTGGGACAGGCAGGCAGTTGGACAACTATGACATCCTGAACAGAGACAGGAAGATGGTGGACAAAGAGGGAGCCAGAGCTGTGGATGCTGATGGACCCAAATGCCCAAATCAGGCCACAGTCTCCTGGACAGGACGAAGAGGAGAAGCGATGGTTCTCGCCCTCCTACTGCTCGATGAGAGCAAAAAGGAGAAGCCACTGCAAGCAAAGGACAAGGAAGGACACGCACCAACACATGCTCCCAGAACCCGCCCTGCCCACTGGTCAAACAACGGCAGAGTCCAGACACAGTAAGACCCTTGCAGAGATGTCACCAACTCTTGACCCATGTGGCCATGACCAATCTAGACGAGATGAAGGCTCCAGGTCTCTCAAGCCTGACAGTGGAGATGCCCATGGCTTCGGCAGCAAGAAACAGGATCCAGAAGAAAATGTGGATGATGGTACGAAGCCAAGACCCGGGGTATGGGGCCATCGGGTACTGTATTAGTGGGCAGTGACCTCAGAAGGTGGAAGAGCTAAAGGTCAGCGCCCACGACAGGGAGCAGTTAGCAGAGGAATGAAGGCAGGTGGTGACAGTCACACACCACGAGAGGGAGAAGCAGGTCTGGGCTGCATGGTCAAATACACCCAGGGCTCCTGGAAAGAGCACACGTGGGGCAAGGACGGCCCTCTGACCAGACGGTCTCTCCCAGCCTCACTGGCTCTGTCCTGTCCTCACTACAGCCAGCATCCCTAACTTCTTTCACCCTCTCACTATGGCTCCCTTCACACTCTGTATACCTGACCTTCTACACACAGTACACCTCGCCCTCTACACACAGTATACCTCACCCTCTACAGTGTACCTCACCCTCTACACACAGTATACCTCACCTCTACAACGTACCTCACTCTCTACCCACAGTATACCTCACATTCTACAAACAGTATACCTCACCCTCTACAGTGTACCTCACCCTCTACACACAGTACACCTCACCCTCTACAGCGTACCTCACCCTTTACACACAGTGTACTTCACCCTCTACACACAGTATACCTCACCTCTACAACGTACCTCACTCTCTACGCACAGTATACCTCACATTCTACAAATAGTATACCTCACCCTCTACAGTGTACCTCACCCTCTACACACAGTACACCTCACCCTCTACAGCGTACCTCACCCTTTACACACAGTGTACCTCACCCTCTACACACAGTACACCTCACCCTCTACACACAGTGTACTTCACCCTCTACAAACAGTATACCTCACCCTCTACACACAGTATACCTCACCTCTACAGTGTACTTCACCCTCTACACACAGTACACCTCACCCTCTCTACAAACAGTATACCTCACCCTCTACAGTGTACCTCACCCTCTACAGTGTATCTCACACTCTACAAACAGTATACTTCACCCTCTACAGT